AAGATTTTCGAAGGTGTTCTGGCAATGGCAAATGGAATATTTTACACGGAGAAGCAAATTTTTGGTAAATGTTGTCTGGAACGTTGGTCCAGTAATTACATCTGTTGTTGTGTATTGAATAGAGGGTATCTAAGAAGCGTCGTTGAAATATCATATCAGCTGCAGTAATTGTTCTGTGCAACACTGGGGCATTGCTGTGAGTTAACTCAAGAGCGTGATTGAGATTTGAATTAATTTGATGTAGATTGTTCGTTATTTTGTAATGTAACTTTTTTATATTATCATGAAGTCTAGGAAACGACTGTAGAAACTCAGATATCTTCTCGTGACAAGAACGAAATAACCTGTCTGGTGCATAGAGATGAAATGGCGGATTTTCCAAGATGATGGGTTGAGGTGTAGAACTTCCTGGCGACTCCAATTGTACAGATATTCTATAATCTGTTGAAAAAAGAATGTTGAAACACATATACCTTAACAAATAATGAAAATACACTGCCTTCTTTTAACGAACATTTAATTTTCAAGTGGACTTAAACGGTTTTATTCACAGAGGGCACTAGCGATTTCAGAATTGTCTGGCGGGAGCAGACTAGGCTATGAGGTCATCGTGGAAGAGTTCTCAGGGCTTTACGGGATTCATTTAAAATTTCGGTCATGAGACAAGTTATCCTGAGAGATTTCGCTGTTCTGATACGTTTGGGATTATACCATAACAAATGAATCATCCCATTTTCCGACCAAGCCTAATGTTGACCATTTGGTTTATTTGTGTGGGGGCAGAAGCATTAAGCAATTTCATGCTTGTTTTATTTTGGAGAAACCTCTTCTAGCACAAATCCTGGGCGATGGTTTATTTGTGTGGGGGACAGAAGCATTAAGAAATTTCATGCTTGTTTTATTTTGTAAAAAACCTCTTCTAGCACAAATCCTGGGCGGCGGCAGCTATTCATGGTTTTAAAATGTTCATGATGGCGCCTAGAATTTTCTAAAAATTACTAGACATTTACAGTCTAGAACGACAAGAAAATGTGAAGTAGTATTGAAGACACATTTTTATTGTGAGGCCTAACAAAGTAGCATATAACAATTAAAATAATTACTTATCTTCGAATACTTGAAGAATATGACATGATTTAAATGAGTGTAAATAGTGATTTGTATAGATGGTCGCCAACCAATCAACACGTATATTTCAGCATGTATTAATGTATCAAAGGCTAATTTGATCAGTTTTTTACACAAAGTCTAGGCCCTCTGAATCCATGCTGTTCTGTCAACAATAAAATTCTGATAAACAATTTAATCAGAATTAATTTTTTTAAACGTGTTTGCGTAAAATATTTGAGACGTATATACAGTATCCTGTAATCCGCTCGTTGGGTTTGTTAATAATAAAATTAGCCCTATGAAGTTGAAACTAGTCTAAGTAATAAAAATTCAGTCCGTACTGCGAGGAAAACACAGCACTTCACTATTGTAGAGACCAGTTTTGATGCTGTTTAAGGAAATAATCCTTGTTTACAGTGATAATCCTACAGAACCTCCCAAAAACAGCTAGTACATGCAGTTATCGAAAAGGATAATGAGAAGATAAGGAGGTAACAGTTAACAATTAAATCCTAAGTTGATGGCATACGTTGCCCGCAGTCTAACAGCGCTTCTTAAGAATGATTACCAACCAACCAACCAACCAACCAAGACTTCTTTATTTTATATTTATATTCTCATGATTTTGTATTTTTGCATACTATTATGTAACGTTTAAAAATTCATCCATGCAGCTCTGATTATATCCTGTATGTGGCATCTTCGGCATTGGTGAATAAATTTACACCAAGGATGTTTCTATTTTTTACATATACGTGCATAAATACATGCATATATTCTGGCTTCCAGTTTTCAGAGGTGTTTCCTAAATTCATGGCAGATTTGTGCAGGCCTGTGATAGTGTGTAAATTCTATTATTGAAAACCAGAGCAGTTAAGTTTAATTGGAAAGAAATTGTAAGACACATTTCCTTCTTTGATATTATCAAATATTAGAACAGCCGTTGCTTCTAAACGAGATATTTTGTGCGTTGCATTGAACCGGTTAAACTTCAGTAAAACTTTCTAAAAAAGAATCTGTAGAGCAAACTTACCGTGATGGTGATGATGAACGTGTGACCGTTGTCCAAGAACTTGCACGTGCGAGACCACGTGCAGCAGAATCAGGAACCTGAGGATTCTTTGTAACATTTCTGGTTAAGATTTTTTCAAGAATAAAGAATGAAATTCAGGAACATAACTTGTTTAAATGTTTCAAGACTGCCCTTGAATTCTTGCGAAGCACACGAACTGTTCGTCTCAAGGTCTCACCACAAAGTGAAATTACTTAAATTAAAGTGAATCACCTTTTGCAAAGGGGTGAGAGGAAGGTTGTACTTTGTCCTTCTCAAATGACACTACATTCCTGTCCAAAGAGGGGTGTCCAGCTCAAACAGTTAGGTTTACAGAGTTAATAACTAATATTGAAAATGTTTAGTTTGGCGTGAAAGACTTTGACCGTCGTCGATGTTTGTCTTTTGGGTTATAACACCGTGTGAATTTGTAGGCAGATACCAACTTTAACCTTGGAGATGAAGACTGTGTATTTCTACGAAACGTTGGGATTTGCTTACAAATTTACTTTTTAATGAACATCTGAGTTCTGTACAAGGCTGGGAATATATCGTGTATGTAGTCTATTAATACCTCTTCTCCTTTGTGGCTGGCAGATTAAAAAATATTCTGGTAATCTTTCATCTGACTCTGTATCTCCGTCCATTTCTGTCCGTAAAAGCTTTATTTATCGCTTGAATGAAATAATGAATTTTTGTCTAATATGTTCGTTCTTTATCTTATATGAAAAAGTGCATCCTTTCAAAATAATTAAAATATAATTTAAGTATCCATTGTCCTGCTATTGTCAGTCTCTCTTTCCATGTACAAAAATATATATTATAGCAGAAATATTTGCTATATTACTGGCTTTATTGTCATTTGTAGATACCTGTACTATATAATTAACAGCAAATGACTGGTATTCCCATATATGCTTCGACTTGCCTGAGTAAAATATCAAGATGTAGCATGTTTATATACAACAAGGATTGCCAACTATATGGCCACGGTGCCCTTGCTAGGTTTTCGGAGTGCCCGAGAGGATTTTATAATATAAAAAGAATTTCAAATATTTAATTTGTTAATTGTCTGATATTTTCTCACACTCTCGCGATATTTCTTGTTGAACCAGCTGGAAGGGTACAGCAGATACGTTTCACAGCTATTATATAATTATTTGTCACCTTTTTCTGCAGATATATTAGGTATCACTATAAACCATAAATCCTTCTAGTTGCTTGTTAACGGATAAAATTTGGCGACCCCTTGTTACAGGGCATACCTTTCGATAAGTCTCTACATGTTTAGTCACACAGATTTAGCGGTCATTGTCTTTTATATTAAAATAAATACTCCATCACTGAAAGGTTTGGAAAATCCCGTCCAAAGTACAGATTTTCCTACCTGTAGTCAGACTTGAGAACAGGTAAACTCTTTTCTTGACGTCGTGTCCTTGTTCCCCACAGCGCAGACAGACTCTTCAGTTAGATCGTGTTAATTGCAGTCTTATATTAGTATTCGGGAAGTTATTGTAACCTGTCTTTCACTCTAAACGTAGGTCAGAACTACAACCCAGAAGGGCACAATGCTAATTCACACAGTACTGACAACTTCGGATCCCATAAATGATAAATTTGTTAACTAATTAATTATGTAAAGTTTTTACGGCGGTTGGTATGAAGATGGCTGTCTTCTGGGTTATAGTTTTGTGTACTCTGTTACAAGTTCACCTATGTTTCAGAGGTACTTACTTCCTCCATCATCAGGGCGATGAGACACCATGAAGAAAGAGACAGCTATCAGACTACACGGCGTAATATTTCAGAAGAAAGTCGTCTTTATTTTTGCTTGTTGATATTTGAGATTTTCACGGCGACGAGTATGAAAACGGATGTCTTCTGGAATATTGCATTCTGTACTTTGACAGACGTTGACCGACGCATCAGAGAAACTTATTACCGCCATCATCAGGGTGCTGGTTATTATCTCCTTAATTACGTTGCAAGCACGTGTCAAAATATTTACTGTCATTGCTACTCACGAGATATCTCGTTTAAAAATTTCATGTACGTAAGAGTAGACGCTCAAACGCAACGTAAAAAACAAATCAAACGAGCAAAATATTTACTTATTGTTATGGAATACGTTGCAATGAGAATAGAGTAGAGATTGTTCAGCAACGGGCTGGACGATCGGGATTCGATCCCCGGCCTAGCAGAATTTTTTCTTCGACACAAAGTCTACCCACTCTCATACATACCCAGATTTTTTGCAACAGGTAATGCGTCCAGGGTTTGAAACTAACCACTCACGTCCATCTGACATTGAAGTTTAAAGCATACTTGGAGCTATGTTTCTTCTTCTCCAGATGTGTACATGGCGTGGTCCTTAGCTAAGATATAGGAAGAGAACTACCTCTTCTACATTCACTATGAGAAGAAGGAATTAATGGAAGGCTTAAAAACAATAACACAAAAAATTACTGGGCATATTTTTACGATAGAATGTAAGATGATTTTCGTAGCGGTACGATGGTCTATAAGCCTACAACCAAGACACAACCAACTTTAATAGCAATGACATAGACTACACACAGACATACAAATATTTTTGGACAAGATTATAACACTTCTAATATAATCTGAATCTTACACTTATAAATGTCTTTAATTTTATGAAATCGAAAACCTACGCGTTCTACTTGTTCATGAAGAGACCATAAGGGTACAACTTTTTAGAAAATTAAAATTAAATAATTAAATAAGCTGACTATGTAGAAACTTAATTGTGTTTCCATATATTCTTAGTAAATGCGTCACTAGTGATATTTATGGACAGAGTATATTTCGACATCGAAACATTTAACTGTACTTTATTTGTGTGTTGGCAGTAACAATTGATTTGATTGTTTTATAGTTATCAACGTATGTACACAAGGATATTTAAATAGTCTGCATTCTTTTCGGTCATAGATTTCTAGTACAACTGTCACAAAAATAATGCAGTATTTATTACATTTTGACCACGATGCAAATAATGGTAGGATTACCAAAGACTCCTTATGGATGACACGTAAAGGCTTGTTATACCATTTAAACGTAGATATATATGCTATAAACTTTTACATCTGAATATTCTGCCCTGTTCACGTAACAGAAAATTTAATGAGATGCTTGTACAACACGCGACGGGACGCGTGGTTCATATTTCATAAGATCTTTGAACGTTAAAGTAAATTTTATCGTTAAACTGATCAACCATGAGGTTATGTGCTTGTAAAAACTGTTTCAATTGTTCGTTCTGATTTATTGTTATTCTCTGCTGTTCTTTAATGAGATTGTTGTATTGGCTCAAGAGCTTTCGATTCCTCTTTTCCAGTTCCAAGTATTCATCTAATAATTGTCTTTGGTTAGTTTCATCTGTTTGTGAAGTCTCGGGCGTGATTCTTGGGTTTTCATTCCTTACACTCGCTGAAATTGATGGGATAGGCCCAAACCTTGTGATCGGGATTATTACAGGCGACGTTTCGCTGTTCGCTGTGGTAGTAACAGGAGGTATAATTGGTAGTATCGGAAAAGGTGGTAGCACTGGTGGAACTAGCGGTGGTATTGCACCTGGTATGAATCCCCTATTACCATATGCTATAGACAATGCTGAATTGATAGTTTTGCCGAATAGATTAAAGGAGTTGGAAGTTGAAAGACTACCAGTCGCTGCTGAGTTTGCAAGTAAACTTGACCATAAAAATAAGTTTTGTAGTTTTTTAGCACCAGATTTGAATAAGAATCTGCCTTCTCTTGACGTGGTAGACAAATCTCTTGAATATCGTCGAATATGACGGCTCGCATACATGGGAATGTTGTCGTTATGTGAATTCTGGTATAAGATGGGAGACTTCAGTACCAACAACATGATTGGTTCTAATATCTCGAATGTTCCTGACGAACCTAAAAGAACACACAACACAATGAGTTTTGTTGTTGTTGTTGCTGTGGGGTGACCAAGGGTGTGGTGCAGGGGCTCGGAGGGCCACGCGAGTCCTTTGTTGATTTTTGATTAATTATCTGTGCTCTTTGTTTTCGACACAAAAAATATAAAAGAATACAGAGGATAAACCAATATGAAAACATCGAAAACCGAAATGTTGTATGCTGTTCTACGTTCTACAGAAAATGTGTTTAACAATATGTATATATTTTTCGAAGCTTGTAATCACACATAATGTCATAACTACACATTAATTGGATCTAATGGTTGCTTTAAACCTGACAGATCCCACGATTGCCATGTTGGTATTGTTAAAAAATAAATTTAAAAATACAGAGTTGAAGTAGGATATAGTGACGTGATAATGATATCAAGTTTTATTGAAGTCATTGACTTCATTCGTAAGTTATTAAGAAAGGGTCAGATACCACAAATTTTCCGAGTGGAGAAAAGAAAGTGGTCTCAAAATATTTACAGTCATATAAACTTTATAATACAGTTTCTATAATCCTTCAATTTAAAGGAAGTAAGGTAAGATCATGTGTGGGCAATATTTTAAAATGGGTCAGGACTTATACGTGGTTTCCAATTAATACAGTCTGTTCCCCACCTATTCCATTGTGCCAATAAAATTCGGTACTGCTGCCGACAGTAACAAGTATGTATAATACAATGCGTTCGCTGACATAGTTACACGCAACTGTCTCTTCCCGGCTCCCGACAGGAACTGCATGAGTCACCGTCCAGCGCTAAAATCAACTGCTGCTAAAATTATTCACACAATAGTACAGCTGTTTCTAACACAGTGTTTAGAACTCGTTATTGTTTTGTGTGTTTGGGTATGGTTCAATATAATATTGAACGTAGTGTTTTTTTTCGTGCATCGTATCATATTAAAAGTCTATAAATATCATAGTTACCACATTTCTGCATCTGTGACAGAACGATTTTAAGTTTGAGAATGTTAAAATTCATGCAAATACATTCACCTTCACAATTCGATTATTTCCGCGTGGCCATTGTCCTAAATGCGCGGGAAGGGAAGGTGAGAGTCAGATGCGTTTTTGGTTGCAGGACAGATCGTGACAGAGTATAGCTGCAAGAAGGTAAAGTTATCCCTGGGCTTGTGTACTGCGTCATGAAAGTGAATAAGGATCTCAGGCTTTGTTCGTTTTACCTCTATCTTTTATGTAGGAAGATAAGTAGAACTGAGAACCTTTCTGGCCGTGGTGGCGAAGAGAGAAATCTCTACCCTGTTTGTCCAGTCTTTATAATAGCTAAGTTATCCCCGGTTCAAGTGTGTGTATTCTAACCTGAAAAATTGACCATTATTTACCATCATATTTATTTATGCAGAATAAATCATACATTTTATATTTGCTGCACTGTTGACTGGGCCACTTAGTAGTCTATTATCCAGTGGGGATCAGAGCTTGTTTATCCAAAGATAAAGCGACCGGAGCGTGAAGCTGCTCACTTACCTTATTTAATTATCGTTGTGAAGAATACGTGAAGCTATTTCTGCGCAGGCGAAATCTATCGGCTATTATAGAACATGTGGAATGTATATCAGTAGCTCTGACTAGATATTAACTTGTGTAAAGATAAAATACAACACATTGCACTCACCACAGTTTCTTTCACCGCATCTCAGAGGACTCTGGTGACTGGGAAGTGACGTCATGAAGACGACGGACAGAATTCTGTAGACCAACATGTCAGAGAGTGATGCGCTCCCAAAGACTTCTGTACTGTATTAGAATAGTGAAAGTACTTTAATGAAATCTACCTCCGTTGCTATCCGCCACATGCGGGCAATTTCACTTTTCTTCTCGTAGTTGTTTCCTCAGTTAGGAGAATTTTGTGACCGGACAGATGTTTTTATGTCGCTGAAGATGTATTTTCTCCATGATTAATACAGTAAAACCCCTCAAGTTGGACACCCCTATATCCTGAACACCCCTTTATATTGGACACTTTTAATTGGAACCGGCGAATATCCTATAATTTTACATGTCCACAATACCCTATATCTTGGACACCCCTTTTGTTGTAAGTTGGACAGGTTC